CGGTGGACCCCTCATAGTCCTTCACAAAGGAAAATGGACGCTTGCGGGTATAACATCCGCTGGTTTTGGCTGTGCAGTAGATCATCAACCTGGAATCTACCATAAAGTGGCATTCACGTCCAAATGGATAACAACGATAATTAACCGGGGCAAATAATAAAAAAAATGTCTGACAACAAAAAACCGGAACGATTTCGTAAATTTGCACACGTACATACATACACATAAATAAAAAATGTATATAAATATTCATATCCGGTTTGTTAAAAGCAAATATTTTTTTTTTTTTTTAAAAGGATAACGGTTTTAATTTTTTTTTACACGAAAAATTCTTGATTTTAACACTTGAATCGACCTTAGCGTACCTGGTTTCAGTTGATGTCTCACACTTTGAAAAAAATACATTAACAATCTATATAATTACAACTTTTATTTATTTTTTATTTACTTATTAACGTGATTTATTATTATTATTATTATTTAGGTTATTTTTATATAAAAATTATCATAGATCTCACAAATAATTTATTTTTCTATTATTAACATTAATAATAATAAAATTTATTTATTTAAAAATATTTTTTTTCTTTCGTTAATTTTTTATTTATTTATTCGTACCTTTATAAAAAAAAAAAGAAGCCATTTTCCTTTTTTTTCTTTTTTTCTACGTTAACTCCCTTTTCTTTAACAAAATGCGCGTAATTTTACGCACGAAATATTAATAATAATAATAAATAAATGTTACGTTATGTAAAAAAAAAAAAAATTATAATAATGTTTTATCGTTCATGTTATTAAACAGAGCAAAAAAAAATAATATAAAATGAAAAAATGAAAAAAATAAAACAACAATAATAATAATAATAATAATAAATAATAATAATAATAAAATGTTAAACACGATGAACGAGAAAAAAAGAAAAAATTTAACAATAGGAAATTGTATTATAATTTACATAAACGAGAGAGAGAAAATTTTTTATTTTTTTTATTTAAATTTTTTTTTCTTCTTTTAAATAAATGGTGTATTAAACTTGTTTGTTTGTTTGTTTGTTGTGTTTGTTTTGTTTTAATTGATTCGATTAAAAAAAAAAAATTCGATTAAGTAAATAAATAAATAAAAAATTGAAAATTTAATAAAATAATTTTTTTTCAGTCTTTTGTTTTTCCCAAGTCGGAAGTTTTTTTTTGTTAATTGGTTTCATTTACCAATAAGTTAATCATGGGCGCAATTTATCTATTTATAATTTATTTTTTGGTCGAATCAAAAAATTAACAGTATTACTATAACTTTTTCATCATTATTATTGTTATTATTATTTATTTATTTATATATTTTATTTAAATTTCATTTTACTTTCACTTTTTTATTCTTTTTTTTTGTATTTTAAGTGAAAAAAAAAAATTCAAAGCAATTAAAATTTAAAAAAAAAAAAAATGAATGTGGGAAAATGATGGTTGGACAACTCACATGCCAATGCGTTTAATAAAAGTGAATTTTTTTTTTTTTTTAATTTTCTCACTGTCAAGGTCAGGCATCCTTATCATCATTATCATCATCATCATAATCATGAGTGTTATTAGTATTTGAACTTTTTTTTTTTACGGGTCTTTTCTCTTTTTTTCTCATAAAAGGAAATCCGGTTGTTGGCCAACCGTGAACCGTTTGTGTCCGCTACGTTTAAGAAATGACTGATTTTAAATTCATTATTATTATTATTATTATTATTATTATTATTATTATTATTAAAGAACAAGAGAAAGAAAATAATGAGTAGAAAGATGGTAACAAAGAAAAAAAGAAAAATAAAAAGTAAAATTTTTTTTTTTTTGC